CCCACTCGTGGCCTACAAGAACCCGCTGGCGGCAAGGGACACCCCCAGCGCCTTCGGCTCAAACTACGCCACCTACCTGAACAGGATACACAACCTCAAGGCCGATGGATACACCGGCGCCCGCGCAAGGGCGGACGGTAGCATCTACGGCATCAGAACGACCAGGCCGGAAACCCCGGACCCGGACGACGAACCACTGCCTTTCGAAATACCGGGACACGCACCGGCCGAACTGGAAAGGATCAACTACGACGGACGAGCGGTGGGAAGGATGGAGGAAGACACGGAGACGGAGGAGGAGGGGGAGGGGAGCCGGTCGCCAGTAGTTAGAGACAACAGGGTTTTCCACCCCCGGGAAGGTGCCCGAGGGTTTTTCCCGATTGATGTACCTATGCCCAGCCGCCGTCGCGGGCACGACCCATTACCATAGATTGGTAGAACTAGGTCGAAAAATTCATTCTTCTTCTTCTTCTTCCTTCGTCTTAACCTCGACCTTCGCAGCAACCATATTGGTATAGTTTTTCTGGGTGTTGGCCAGGGTAGAGAGCCTCGCCAGGAAGGTTATGGTAGTCAATTTGTTCTTGTTTTTGTCGGCGGCCCACAATAAAGCCTCGTTGGGAAAGGAGTGTTTCACCGCATTGAAAAGGTTGGTAAGCTCGACAGTGTCGTCGATCTTGTAGCCGACGTCCTTGACACGCTTGCGAAGAGACTGCCAGCGCATGAATTAATGAATGACAGCGCATGAGAAAGACCTCCAAGGTAGCGAAGGAGGCACACTTGATGGTCTGGTACTCGTTGAGAACATCGCTCTTGGCCTCATTGGTGACACTGGAAATGCTGTTCTTGATGAAATCGAATGGATACTTTGGATCGTCGTTATCCTCGTCCCAGCTGTTGATAGACAGAACGTTCTGGACCTTCTTGTCGCGAATGGTAGAGTGAATAATAGACATCGCCTTAGCGCGATCCATCATCCACTGGCGAAGGCGCTTCTCGTCTTCATCATTGGTTTGTCGTTAACTTTGGGCTCTGGAATACTCTTGGTGACGTATGGTTTCAGGCCTTGGGAGGCAAGCTCAACCTTCAGTGCGCGCGCCCAGGCGTCAAGGTTGGATTCGCCCTTCAAGGGAATCAAAGTGGCGGCGTTGAAAGACATGGCGCCGGAATTCTCGTTGTTTCGAATAAAGAGGTAGTTGTTTGTACTCGCATAGGTTGTGTTCTCTGTTTCTGACTTGATAGGAATCTCAGGGACTGTGCGTGTCTCGAATTACCGACAATCTTCATTGAAGTCGTATAACGGTTTCTGTTCTCTAGATCTCGTTGTCGCTTGACAATATCTGGTCTTGAATAAAATCTCTGGTCTCTTGTCGCTTGACAACAGTGCCGAAGCTCTCTGGTCGCTAAAGCGATGCGCACTCGGTGTTGGGACAACGCGGGGTTCTCTGGGGTTCTCTGGGGGACTCGCGCTCGGTGACATCGCTCGTTGTTTATCTCTTCTCTGGGTTCCCAATACTCGTGATAGCTGCGCGCAGCGATGCAATACGATGCGATCGCATGCTGAGGGCTCATAACCTCTTGGACTCGTGGGCACAAGAAGTGTGTTGATTGTGTTAAGCTCAGGAGACAAGAAAGGAAAAGAAATGTGGAGGGCTAAATACAATGGTGGTGTGAGCTCATGGACCCACATAACAAGGCCTACGTATGGCTGGAGCAACAAAAAGCTCTCATCAAGAATATCCACGCGTCCAAGATCGGAGGACATATGGGTATCGCAAAGACTATAGCTAGGATACGGCAACACTACGACTTCCCCAAAATGAGCGACGAAGTGGCTCGAACATTGCAGGCCGGCGAGCAATGTAGCAGAGCCAGGGTTGCAAGAAACAAGTTATACGGATTTCTCGAACCCCTGGAAGTCGCAGAATGACCGTGGAACTCGGTAACGATGGACTTCATCACCAAGTTACCACTATCTACCGACACCGCCACAGGAGTCGCGTACGACAGCATCTTAGTAGTAGTGAATAGACTGACCAAATGGAGTTATTTCCTACCATACCAGGAAACATGGTCAGCGGAGAGACTCGTAGACGTGATTTATTGGAACATTACTTTGGTACACGGATGCCCGAAGGAATGGATCACAGATAGATACACCATATTTGTATCCAAATTCTGGCAAGCATTGATGGCCAAGCTTGGTACCAAGAGCAAGCTGTCAACAGCCTATCACCACCAGACGGATGGACAGACCGAAAGGATAAACAAGATCGTGGAACAATATTAAAGGAATTATGTCAACTTCGAACAAAGCAATTGGGTAGAACTACTACCCACGGCACAATTGGCATACAATACCGCACCTACAGTGACCACGAAGGTAACACCTTTCTTCGCAAACTACAAAGGTCACTTTTTCGTATGCCCACTAGTCACCTACTGCAACCCGAATGCGGCAGAAGACACGCCGAAGGCCTTCGGCACAAGCTACGCAACATTTCTCACAAGGATTCAAGCCCTCAAGGACGAGGGATACACACACGTCCAGGTATTAGGAGGAGGAGGCTACCAGGGGATAAGGGTGGCGAGAGCCGAAACCCCCGACCCGGACGACGAGCCACTGCCATTCGCAGAGGTGCTTGGTCTCCCGGGGTCAGGAGGCCTGGAATAAAGGTGGAAACACACAGCAAGGATTAGGGTTTTTCCAGCCCACGGCCATGCGAGCGCCGCGCCTGACCTAAGAGGCTTTTTTGTCGCACTTATGTACCTATGCTCAGCCGCCGTCGCGGGCACGAATTATTATCTAGTATTGGTAGAACGTTGTCAAAAAATTCATTCATTCATTCATTTGCAAACTACAAATACGAGATGGAACTACTGGAAGGCCCAGACTCAAACGTTCCTAGAGCCTCAGTCAAGGCCCAAAAGCTGCATATGCTTCACGACAAACTCAAAACCGAGTTGGAATTCGTGCGCCAGAAAATGGGTTGCTACTACAACCAGAAAATGCTCGAGGGACCTCGCTTTGAGGAGGGGGATAAAGTCCTTTTATCCACTAAAAATCTTAGGACGAAGCGACCCAGCAAAAAACTCGACGATCGACGAGTAGGACCTTTCAGGATTAAGAAAATCTCAGACGTAGTATTCCAGTTGGACATTCCTGACGCTATGAAACTAAGATTGCACTCATTCCACGTCTCGCAATTGGAACCAGCACCCAAGAACGCTAAAATCCACAACAACGTTAGCGTCAAAAACGAGAAAGAAGAATGGGATGTGGAGCTAATCTTGGATTCAAGAATCGAGGCAGGGAAGTTGGAGTACCTCATCAAGTGGGAAGGATTTGGTCCCAAAGATAATACATGGGAACCCGTTAAGAATTTCAGTTGCCCTGAGAAGGTGGAGGAATTTCACCGAAGAAACCTGGACCGGCCGAGGGAGAGGGACTTTCCAGCCAATCAGAAGGGAAGGCCGACATGTCGAAGGAAGACCAATCGACGTCCAGTACCAGGACCGAGGAAGTAGCCTCCAAAACTAGCTGATCCTCCAAGGGTTCAGGCTCTTCCCCGGTGGTCCTCTCTTGCTCCTCCAAAGCCTCCAACTCCGCCATACTACGTAAGGACAACTCGCGATCCTGCGAGGCCAAGTCCTGTTGCTGCCGTTCCAAACCAGACAAATGCGCCACCTGCGCTTTCAGATCCTTCGATTGCGCACCAAGTTGTTTCAGATTCTCGTCAATACTCCGCGACCACTCGTCGATCTCCCGCAAAAGGGCAGCCCTCATTTGTATCACCCGGTCATGCGCTGCAGAAACACGCGCTACTGCTAAAAGGTCAGGAAAACTAACAAAACTCCAAAGACCGAAGACCTACGCCCAGCATCCGTGTTGAACTCTTCACAAGGGCGCGCACAACGAACGCACTTGCTGCACTTTGCATCGTCGGAAAGCTTCCTGCACGAGAGGTTACGTTCGGCGCAGTATGAGCAAGGCATCACGATGGCTCCAAACTTTTTGATGTTAGAGAGTAATGTCCGTCGCTTGGACGCCAACTTAGACGGACGCTTCTGGACACGTGAGGACGATATGATGAGGGATGGAAGGGAAGAGAACTTACGGTAACTAGAATAGCGATGGGAGATAATGAAAAATAAGAACGGACAGAGTATGTGAGAAGCCCAACAAGCCGTCGAGGACGTCGGCTAGGGAGGGGACGCATCGTGTTACGAACTTAAAGAGAACACACGGGCCAACCAGAGCGCTGGTAGCACAACTAACCCAGAAGGGCTAGACTGTGCAACCCCAAGGACGGAAAGGCTCAGGAGGCAGGGAAGGGAGCCAGGCTCACGAAGTGAGCTCGCGAACTCATCACCACAAACTAGGGGTTCACGTCTACGTGAACATCCAGAGACAGATATCTCGCAGAGGGCGAGGAGTATAAAGGGACGACTGGAGAACTCAGATTGTCAGATAGTTCAACAGTAGTCAATTGATCATTATCACAAAGACCAGTATAACGCTACCATACTTGTTGTGAACCTTTTCGCTTCACGGAACGTCTACTGATAGTTATCTACCTTCAGCTATCCTACTTAGGCGGATCAGACTGCCGTTCGTCACACCCATTTTAAAAAGTTTGTCAATTCAATCTGTTTGATAATTAGCCAGTTTATAATTTAAAGACTTTGATATTATCTTGTATACTGCTAAATGCCCTAATTCAAATTATAATTATGAATATAGAATGTCCTTGGGCGGAGCCGGAAATACATAAGGAAGAAAGTAAAGCGCCCACTGTTATCCAAGGGAGCAAGTATTATATTTAATTGCCTCAATTTAATAGCGAACTTACATTGCCAATTAATACTAATTATACAAATATACTTAACTTGGTATATTACGTTCATGATCTTATGGTTATTACTATTATCTGATATATTATTACAATAATTTTGCCATTACTTGCTGGAAGTTTATAGTTAACGGCGCTGAAACTAGGAACGCCGATTTCTAGTCGAAGGGTGCTCCAAAATGAACCCCAATAAGGGAAATTGATTTGTAAGGGTCTTTTACCCCCTGTACAATATTGTATAACGAATATAGCGATAGTGTTGAACCGTTGTTACTAATGACGATTAATAAAAGTACTCGTAAGTTCGAAAATAATATCCACTACCTGCAAGGGCACGGAATGGGAAATCAAAGGCAAAGCTAGGATTCCACCTATAACAGAAAATTTCAAATAGGAAGGAAAAGAGATAGACCTAGATACATACGTACGAACCCAGTCTTCAATACTTATATCGTACAAGCGACGCGGGATCCACTCTCCGGTCGCTATTTACCAATTCTTTGCTGCTATGTCTCGTTACTTGTAGGGTAAATTGTAATAAATATTCTTAAAGCGGCTTAGTTCCCCTGTAGCCGTCTTAGCGCTAAAAATTCTTCTGTTATATGGACCCTGCCGCCCGAATCCGACCCAGAGCTATACTGGGCCAGCAAAAAACCGCACAGCCTTGCGGACCAACCATGGTACAAGGACAAAACCCATACCTCGGACTACCACGCAAATACCTAGCGAGGTGGGTAGGAGAACGACCGGGCCACTGGGACTTTCACTCCTATCACGAGCGTTTCAACCACCCCCCCCCCCCCCCGAGGCGTTCCAGTACTGGACATGCGGAGTACCCCGCGAGAATGAAAGGAAACTAACGCAATGATTGAAAAAAGTATAGGAATTTGCCAAAAAATGGGAGTTACCCGAATCTAGGAAAAGTAAACAAAATAAGCAAACTACTACTATGAATAGCCAAGCTTTATGATAGGGAATAAGGTCTTCAACGGACTGCCTAAGCAATAAACTTAATTTTCTGCAAATAAGAATCCTTTACTTCATTGCAGGTACAAAAAAATGTTTTGTTATATTTAAATTACCTAATATTTGAAGAGAGTCACAAATCTTCTATAAAAGTAAATTTAAAATGGACTCAGCAAACCCCGTATTGAAATAGAATAAAGTAATTCCAAAAGGGGAAATTATTAATAAAAAAAAAGAAATATGAGCTGAAGACATTATGATAAATAAATTAGTATATAACTAATTGAAGTATCAAGTATTTTGGAAAGGATAGGACCTGGACTTAGAATAGTATGAAATAAGCAATTTTAAAAATACAAAAAGAAAATTGCAACTTTATTGTAAAATTGATTTAAATCAATCCGGGCCGCCGAAACAACTATAAATATAGTGAAAAGTAATATAAAATATCGCCATTGCGAAAGATCACAAGGATAATATTAAACCGGAGGAAGGGGCAACGGTAGAAGGATTGAGCAAATTAAAAGGAAAAAAGTAGGAGTTAATGAAAAAAGTTAAAGTATTAGTAATTAATGGCTGATGAATTTGGTTGCGTAGTATACTAGTATTGAACAATAGTCTAAATTATTGACGAATACATACTAGGACCTAATGGCATTTAGCCTCTATTGGGAAAGTAACCTGTTCGAATACAATTGGGGGGGGGGGGGGGGAGGTTATACTTAAGGATTACGATACAATTAGATTATATATAAGGTTGCAACATTTGGCTTCGACTTTATTCAACTCTTTTTTCATATAACTAGTGATTAATTGCCTCTTATTCGTTTTACTATTTCTCTTCTTTCGGTTTTAGGGTTAAACCTTGCTTCCGGAAGGGGGGGGGGGGGGGGGGGGGGGGGGCGTGATATTATAATACAATTGGATAGGGTACCGACTGGCTACTGGGCAATTGACCGTGATACATCGGATGGAAGGTAGCTTATCTTACTACTTATTGACAGGGCTTTTGGATCGGGAAGGTGGACACGGGTAGTAGAACCAGTCTTATATGTCCGGATTTACGATGCCACCGTTGTTTATTTCCCTTTCCTTCTTTACACGTAATATTACTTTGATTTGTAATTCTTCGTCTTGCAGTCGTATCTCTCGTAGGATCACGCTTTCACAAACTTACGTAAACGAATATCCTTATATTTCTACTACTAACTATGTCAGGACGTTCATTTCAGTAATTCTTTTCCGTTTTATGATTTCGGTATACGCCTTATAATTCAATTTCCAATTTATTGAAATATCCCGATACCGCAGCGGGAGGTGACAGAGCCCACGTCGGGTAGAAAGAAACGGTGGTTGGAAGAGGCAACTCGGAGAGAGTGGATAGCGAGGTGGCATGTTAGGCTGGCCGAGGCGATGAGCAAAAGGAAGAAGCTGAGTGCCGCAGAGGCGCGTGCGCGGTTCGATGGAACCACACTGCAGTACCACACATAGCCCAGTACGGATGAGAAGTCATCTCCGCACTACCTCTGGAGGATATGAGCTCACTCCTGGTGCAAATCAGAACGGGCAAAATGGGCTTACGGGCGTTCCTCTTCGAGAGAAGGGTGCCGGAGGTGACAACACCGTACTGCCGGTGCGGGTTAGCGAAGGAGACGTTTGAACATATTGTCTTGGAATGTAGAGAAACGGAAGACACATTGTTATGGGGACACCCAATGTAGCCGACAAACATTGATCAGCTCCACGACGAACTCGAGACAGTG